TAGAACCCGCACCTCTCGCTTTGAACACCACCTAACACGAGAGGTGCGGGTTCTAGTCCCGCCTGGAGCTAAAGTTTTGTCCACAGCCCAGCATAATTGTGGAACCTTCGCAAGGTGAACTGCGGCCAAAAACAGCAGGTAACAAATAAAAACAAGACGTGCATATCGAATAATTCAATGTGCCAAGGGCTCTATCCGAGTCAAACCCACCCAGAAACGGATCATGGCAATCCGGGTGAGCTGAACGAACTCAATCTCAATGCTGACACAACGATCGGGTCCCATCTCGGCCCTCCACATCTTCCCCTGATCCGTACATGCGAAAGACTCGACGAAGATCGACTCCACACTACCCACAGATCGGCTTGCATTTGAAGAGATCTGTAATGAATGCTCAAAGTCGTGGGAGCGGGGATGTTTGGAATTGCATAGCATACCTTGGCCACTTCTGACCGCTTTCCGCTATCCGTGAAAATTTCGATAGCATTTAAGCCGACATAAGTAGCGTCACCCCAGTTTGACAACAGATCCACACGCAGTAAGTGACCACTTGGAAGTTCCGGGATTTCACTGCAGAAAGATTGCTTTTATACGAAAACCATTCTTCAGAGCTATCACAGAGTTTATGGTTAGATGACATCGAGAGACACGAGAGACTGTACCGAAAAGTCAAGTCAAGATGCGTTCAATTTATTAGGTTGTCCGACAAGTAATGTCGTTCTTTCACAGATGGAGACCTTGCTCTAGGCTTCTAAGTTTTTCATCATTTCTTATACATTCCGAAAGAGAGCTGTCCGCTTTACAAAACATTTCAGCTCCTTCCCACATTCATCCTGAATGTGTCAGTTGTGATCACTGGAAACAGCACACAAAGTTTCACGCATGAAGATTCGGTTTCTGAAGAGAAACAAACGTACAAAAACTACACGTTATGGACCATCGAAGGAGGAGGCGGCCAAGGCGGGGCATGGAAAGAAGTCGTTGGGGCGGCTACGTACCAGGCGACGCAATGAAAGAATCGGGTTAAAGCGCGCGATTTCGGAGAGTGGAGACAAATCGATCGATAGGAATAGGATGGAGTAGAAGTGTGAAGATGTGAATGCAATAGGCAATAAGGCCAGAAAGAGTTTCTAGTGAAGGCACTTCAAGGAACTAGGTGGTAGCGTTCCCGTTGCCAGCATTTGTGACAGATGTGCGGCGGAACTTTGAACGCGTGCTCCCTAACTGTCTGGCAGGTAGAAACACAGAGGTATGCTAGGTCCTATGACGCAACCCTTTTTTGTCCCCCCAGAGGATTGAATCAGAGTAGGGGGATATATCCCCCTGGGGGAAGGATTGAATACCGCCCCTGTTGTGGCGGGACAACTCGTCCGCGCAATACATCTATTCCGTCCGTCTAGCCTTGGCATCAGGCCAGCGAAGCTATCCGCTCTTTTTTTATATTTGGGACTCAGAGATTTTTGAGACCCAAATTATCAGATCGATCAATTACTGAAGTCTAATAGTTGAGTGATGCGGACGAGTTGTCCGCCACAGCAGGATGGGGCAATTGCGCCTGTGCGCTCTAATGCCAAGCTCCAGTTGTGCCGCTGCTGGCAACGCAGCTCGTCCAAATCACCAACGCTAGTGGGCGGATCGCTTTTGAAGTGGAGTGCTTTCGGAAGTCTGCTCAGCAATCAGCGCACCTTTTGTCGTAAAAGCACCACACCTCGCTTCGGGTCTCATCCGGTAAGAGGGGGCATTGCGGTGCACGGTCTGCTCTAATGCCAATTTGGCTCAAGGAGTCCTTTAAAGTTACGAGCTGCTATCAGCTTTTTTCCTATGTTATTTCTTCAGGTGTTTTGTGTAATGTATGTATTCTTGTACTAGATGACATTAACGTCTACGAAAGTGAAATTCACCTAGTTAGCAGGTCAGGACTAAGCCTAGGAGGGGGAGGAAGTCCCCCGGGGAAAACCAAGATTGCTCACGGACCGGGGACTCCTTCCCTTCTAGGGCTTAGTCCTGAACGTCTACAATAAAATAATGTGCTTTCCATGGTTTGAAATGCTCTAGATCGCTATGCCCCCTTACTGGATGAGACCCCTCGCTTCCTTGCCAGCCAAGTAACTGCTTGGTGTGGCGCATATCCTTCCCCGATGCGCTCCCTCTTTATTGTAATGCACTTCCTTTGAAAATTACAAGAACACGTTAAGGGACAAGGGGAGCGTGCAACAGAACCGTCCGAGACTGGCGCCATCGCGCGCGGCCACTTGTGCGGCGCCGTGACGCGGCACTTTTTCGATGGGCGCGGCAACAGTAGACTTTGTCGATTGGAGCGACACAGATTTGCTGCCGTCCACATTAAGCCTTTTGGCGCTGGCCCGTCAACTTTAACGTTTTATTTTCTTCCGTATTTTTAGGCCCACTTCATTGCTGACGGCTCGTGCGGTCTTAAGATCAAGATCAATAGTTTAATTGAAATTTCAGTCGTATTTCATCCCGAGGCAGGAGTAGAACGCGCCCCGTGATGTGCTAAGTTGCTCAGCATACTCCTTTAATACAAAGTTTCGTTATGGAATCATTCAAAAACCAAGACAGCGACTCAGCCGCATTAACTGATCAAGCACATTCCCCTACCGGCTTCAGATGGCTTCCGCCGGCCATGTTATGAGCCTAAAATGTTAAAAGGAGTAGGGGTAGCCCCTGTGAGAAATCTCGAATGACGCTCAACTCGTCCACTACAGTCGACGTCGCGGCCGCGACCACAAGCGCGGGGCTCCGGACGATTCTGTTGCTACACACCCAAGGGACAAGGGTCACATGGAAAATATAAAAATAAAGGATAAAGCGATTGCCGTTGATCAATCCCGTTTTGGGATGCGGCACGCATTCTACTTCCATTTGTACATTCTTATACAATGACTTGCGGGGGCCAGCCGATGTTCAAGTCAGTGTTTTTATCCTCCCAGACAAGTCTGGTACCAATTAACCGACCCCGGAGGGATGGAAGGCTTGGTTGGCCCGGGCGACTCACGACCCAGGATTTGATCCCGGACCGCTCGCGTGGTGAGCGCGCCACTTGTCACTACACCACTTCCGCCCTTAATTCGTAAAGGATAACATGTTTAAATCTGGCGTAGTCAAATTTTTTATACATATCTATTCCCACCCGATGATCGATTCTGGAGCGAGATCTGGCTGAAATGACGTATGCCTGCTGACGGAGATCACTCGAGCTCCTTCTGTGTACGACATCACATCAGCAACAGGTGAAAAATTCGCTTCGGCCATAATTGCTCCCATTTTATACGTTTCAAATTCAGTCAGTCTGAGGTAGTTTTCAAGACGAGAATTAAGTTTTACTCTCATTCAGATCTAGCATTGGGTTTGACCCCACAACGTCCAGTTACTTGTGAAGTGGGCAGGCCGACAGAAGCAGTCCCGCATTACACTATAATCTTACTCCTATCAGACGACCAAGACGATAAATGCCTCTGAAAGTGAAAAAGTGAGAACCTTTCGTCTCAGGCTTTGCCTTTAAATAACCACGCCGGCAAAACGTGAAAGCGTACGTCCTCCTCCTCAGATTGAATCGTGAAGGAAGACTGGAGTTCTTTGATTGCTGTAATCCATGACCACTCAACCCTTTCACACTATTGGCTTCGCAATCAATCATTATTACAGGCCCACCTCGGGTAATTGGTACTAGGAGCGCTTTGTAGTGGTGATTAAGCTGCGGGACGGCTTGAAAGTGGAGGGAGAGCTAGAGTAATTTTTGGAATCGCTGAAATTAAGGCCCTTGCCTTCAAAACATCGCATGGGAACGCTGGCGGTCAAGCAGACAAAACACGCCGGGTCGAGAAAGCACGCACGATATCCGTGTGGTGGGAAGCGTTCAACGTTCCGATGGCTGGCAGACCCTAACGAATTCGCCCCTCTACCGGCGCAACTCTCGGCGAAAAGGCAGATCTCCACAAAGGACGCGCTCCCTATACCCGGCTTTTGGGGAACCAAGAACAATTCACGTTTTCATACCATTTTTGGAAATTTTCCCACAAATTCATCGAATGGACTCCCAAAATCCCTATCGCCACCAATTTTTTTGTCCACTTCGAAAGCTGCACCGCTACTCCCACATTATACGCCCTCCCCCCCTACGCAGGATTGCCAGTTACGACCCACCCATCCTCTATAGAAATCCTGGACGGTTCACCCTAATGCATGGTAGTTCGCATACACAGAGTCAGCATGTTCTTTTTGAGAAATGAACTAGAGCGAGAAGAATTCTCCATTGGTGGCTGAGCCAGTTATAGCTTCAACAAGCAAATATTCTCGCTCCCGCAGATACATTGATAAGCTGATATCCATTAAAATTTTGTGGACAGATAAATTCAACCTATTCGTTGTGGAGAAGAAAGTTAAGGGAGCAATTCAGGAGAGAGACCTTAGGTAATAGCTGGCGATGAATCGGTCTTCTGGGTTGTTATATAGCCTGACTGCACCTCCACCGAACAACCTGCTTATTTTTCGACGCTTCAGAACATTTGGCTTTTCTCGTCAACACCATCTTTTCCAGTAGCGCTTTAAAGGACGAATTTACGATAAGAACGAAGGTCGAAGAAGGGGAGATGGTGGTAACTTAGTTGGGGGGGCGGCAGTCTGCTCGCCTGGCATGTTCGGAAATCCGTGGGCCAGGGGGAGTGTAGGCAGTCTAGGGGGGTGGGGGGTGGGGGCAGTCACTTGACATGCGTGAAAAGCTGGAATGTTCGAGTTTACACTGTCTCGCTCGAGAGAGCCCAGGTGAGCAGACTGCCGCGCCGCCGCGTGGCCCCCTCCAACTAAGTTAGCGAGATGGCTTAGTCTGGATACAGGCGGATTTCTTGAGGGTACAGACCAACGCGCAATTGTCAACGAAAGATTTGACCTCGGCGCACCAGCATGGCTCAGTTGGCGCGGTTTCGGGTGTCCCCCAAGAGGCCCATCGCGCGGCGAAGGAAGAGACGCAGATGCGGCAAAGGACGAGTCGCAGCGCGTGCTGTGCGATATGAGACGTAGTATGGTACACTCTATTTAACCTGACGCCTAACCGCTACAGTATGCGCTGCGACTCGTCCTTTGCCGCGTCTGCGTCTCTTCCTTCGCCGCGCGATGGGCCTCTTGGGGGACACCCGCGGTTGGCCGGTGTATGCCCAACGACAATCCGATCACTAGCCGCAGGTCTATAAGTGGCGAGTGATTAGACAGCCGAGAGAGCGTAATGTTGAAGATGGCACAGCGATGATGATGTCGCACCAATGCTCGAATCAACGGGCAAGGAAAGGGGTACCATTTCTTGGCACGGGCGCCGGTTTCTGTTTTTCTTCTAATTTGAAGGAATGCTCTTTAGCGTCAATTTCCACTTCAGATTCCACGGCAACCTCGCTGAAAGTCCGACTCGTAGCGACAGGATATCCCGTCCGAAATGCCGCCCCCCACACACTTTGTGGTTCCGCACCTACATAAAATCACCCCGCCCGGCGATTCGTCCGCCAACACAATTCGCGCTATGCACGGCGTCCTAAACCCTTACGGGCGCCGGCAACCCACCCACCCAGCCGCCCGTTGCACTGTGTTCCCGCTCCCACCCCCATCAATTGATGTCAGAGATCAGCGGCATCTCCCTCCCCACACCCCCTCGGCTTCGCTTCCGCCCCTACTTTGTCATTTCCTCTTGATCCGCTTCTGTCTCCCTCGTCGAACACCCATCGGCCTAACTTGATGCCGTTAAGATTTTAATCTTTATCGTTTCATCTGATTTCTGCCCTTAGCTTCCTTCCCCATTTCAAGTCTCCTACAGGCATTAGTCGCCTCCCCACAAGCCCAAGCCCTCTTGCACTCCCCAGTTTACTCTCCGCGAGCCTTGCCCCTTCGAGATCTAGCTTTCCAGTTTGTCCAATTGACAGCCCTTGTGCGAGACATTGGCGACGACGATTATGATCTGCGCTTGAACGGTCTAAGAAATTCGCTCCGGTCATTCGGCAATGCGCTCGATTAGAACCCGTCAACCGTTTCCCGATCTGCCCCGACCCAATGCCGACAAACGCGACTCTCGCCACAGACGCTTACGTCCGAAAGAAGCTAATCCACAATCACGACGATCTGAGCCGCTTTATGAATGACTCTCTCAGACTTACTAAATGGAACAAATCTAACGCCGATCCTCCTGAAGACACACTGGCTCTAACTCTCGTCGTCGATGCCAATACCACCCCACCCGACCACGACAACAATCACTATCAATTTCTCAAAGCCAACTGAACTTACAGGTATGCGGGGGGTACCTGACAGGAGGCCCGTCGCACGGCAATAAGACAGAGTTTAGCGGACGAGTCGCAGCTCGTACGGCAGTGAATTCGCTTCGAGTCAAATACTTATAGCAATTCTCATTGTGCGTCCTTCAAAAATCAAGCAATTACTCGGCAGCGACGTCGTCTCCACTGACCTGCCTGCTTGCCGCGCGACGGGCCTGTTGTCGGGTAACCGTATGCGGAACAGGATTAGCCTCCGCGTTCGCACTTTTCTAGAGATTACGCTCCCCCACCACCAGAGAGTCTTGATGCGACTTCTCCCACTCCCCCCCCCTCCCTAACACCACCATCAGTCTTCGAAGGCTCGTCTTGATTCTGCGAGCAATCGGCGCAAGCCAACCCCACCCTTTTTTTTACTGCATAATGACTGTACGACCGTGTAGTATGGGAAAGGGAGGGGGTATTACCGTCTGGTAATGCGGCGAAATTCCTAATTTTGAACAATTCACTCTTTTTTCCTCAAATTCTCACCAAAATCGTCACAAAACCTGCCAGAACAACCTCTTTCTCACAACCACGCCCCTATAATTTTCACAAATACGGCCCCCGTTCGCACTTTTCTCGACGATTTACCTAATGGTTAGCTCAACCCCAAATGTGACCTCTCGCTTTTCCAAAATCACAAATGCGAACCCGCCGATAGTGCGACGGGCACGGATGATTCTTTAATCCTGATGCGGAGTTGTGTAGTTTTCCGTAAAATAGTGTTTTTGTGAAATTCTTATTTGGCAGGTATTTCTTTCTGGAATTACAACGTCTCACCAGAGATGTCTTACGCCGGTGTTCGCCTTCTACACATTTTTATCAACGGACGACTAGCAGTCAGTAATGTGCTGCTACGCAAAGCACCAGGTGCTTTTCACGCTCGTATACTCTGCTTTCGGGAACCAGGTACGCGTCGGGTGCAGACCACACACCACAAGTGACGACGGCCTCCAAGTAAATCTGGTTAGTAGTGGTTCATAGTGATAGCTGATAGTTGGTAAATGATAGTTGTAATTAGTGACAACTGATAGAATACAACTGCAACAGGCTAATCATTTCATTGGCAGAAAACATTACATTTTGTGGAGGCCGTCGTCACTTGTGGTGTGTGGTCTGCACTCGACGCGCATCTGGTTTTCGGAAACAGAGGTACATAGGCGGTAGAATTGGAGAAAATGTTGAGCTTTCAACGAATCAGATTTTTTCCAGGTTATGTGTTCTTCGACTTCGTTCAGGATGTCTCCATAGATCATCCGACAACAGCTCGCCCTTTGACTCGACCCATGACAAGCTCCATATACGGATGTAGGTGGTGTCTAATCTTTTTGCAGGGTCAACCGTCCGGGATCTTTCGGACAAAGGGGGCGTATTTGTAATTGATTGGATGAGGGAGTTTTTGAGGTATTTTTGAGGAAAGACCAAACTGGGCGAAGAAAGGTGCTGAAATGGACGGAGATGCTAGAAATTGGTGTTCGAAGTGTTTCAGGAGTTGTGTAATACGCCCC